TTATGACATCCGTCACCCATCGACTACGGTCCTCCTGACTTATGTCGCCCGCTGACTACAGTCTTTTCAACCTCTATCTCCCACCGACTACGGTCCTCCTTACTTACTAGTCCACAACTACAGTCTTTCCGACCTCCGTCGCCCGCCGACTACGGTCCTCCTTACTTACGTCGTCCGCAACTACAGTCTTTCCGACCTCCGTTGCCCGCCGACTACGGTTCTCCTAACTCACGTCGCCCGCCAACTACAATCTTTCCAACCTCTGTCGCCCGCCGACTACGGTCCTCCTAACTTACGTCGCCCACCGACTACAGTCCTTCCGACCTCCTTTGCCAACCGACTACAGTCCTCCGGACATACGTCGCCCACCGACTACAAGTCTTCTGACCTCCGTCGCCCACTGACTATGGTCCTGCCGACCAAACAAACATGTCAACAATGACTCTTTGTATTAACATCATGTAATGTACTCCATAAGATGTACATCAAGCTAAGACCTTCCATCAAGGAAGGACCTCATTTGTAATCAACTACAATACTAGTGGATTCATTCAAACTAGGCTAGGCCCCATGGTTTTTCCCCCTTTTCAGGGGTTTTCCACGTAAAAATCTTGGTGTCTCATAAATGTTAGACCCTCTCTCTTTATCTGATTGCGTGCTAGATTTTCGTACAACGCTAAGACGTTAAATCTTATATTTCTCTACCGTCGCGAATACTCCTGGATGCAACAAGTCTCTTGAAGCATCACAACACTAGGTATGCCATGTTGACCTCATTTTTGTTTGAGTTCAAAACCCTAAACATCATCTACAGTCAAACATTAAACTTCAATAAATTTTTCACATTCAATCACTAAACCTCAATCAATTGCTAGTATTCAATCATTTAATCAGTAAAGGTTGATTCTCAATCATTTTCAAACACTCAATGAGCTTCAATCATTTAGTGATGGAATTTAATCAACCTCAAGATCTAGCTTCAAACCATTCTAAATTATTCAATAAACTTAAAACCTTAAACCAATTTCAATTCTTCAATCAAAATTTAGTGTAAATTTAATGCCCAAAATCAAATTCAAAATCAAACTCCTAAAGCTCTTTAAAATTTCCTTTTTTTCAGGGGAATTTTTGATTTGGTCAAAGCCCTAGGTAAAACTTTTATATGTATGATCATTCACATATTGATTAGACAGGTCTCAAGAGCTTACCTACTTATTTTGGAGGCCCTCTTATCCTTCTAAACCTAGAAATGAAAGCTTTCATCAAGCATAAAAAATCTTTAAATATTTACAACTATGCCACAAAACTAGCATTTTGTTCAAAAACCTTGTAAATTCTTTCAAGTCATTTAAACATGTTCACAATCAATCTTGCAATGATTCAAACTCACTTGAGTTCATTCTTGACTTGAGTTGACCATTTTTAACCCATGAACACCATTAAATCCTAAATACTAAATCCTTCATTTGCATCAATCATATTAAAAAGTTCAAACCAATACCTAGGATTGGCACCTAGGCACTTGATAATCAATGTTGATCATGCATAGACCCAAATGAATCCTTAAATGGGTTGAGTTAACTATAATTGGTTACTTTGAACATTAAAAGGTCTTTGTATCATAAACCCTAAACCATACATGTAAACCCATCTAAACATCTCCAAAACCAATTCCATATTCTTAATCAATATCTTCCACCATCTACAACCTAAAGAGGAATTATTCCTCAAGACTAGATGTGTGCATTGCAACCAAATCTAGCCCCAATTGTCCATCAAATAGAGGTATGGATAAAACTCGAGCATAGATTTTCTTAAGGTCAAGCAAGTGTGAAGTGAACATTCAATTCGAGGAAATCTGGCAATTGGATTGAATGTTCATGTTTATATGATGATCTTCGATCATTTTGGGTAAGATCCACTAAGTTGATCTCTCAAATCTTTCCAAAATTTATCTATGGCTAAGGAGTGAGGTGAGAGGTTGAAGACAAAATCCTGAGCTTCCGTTTCATCTAAAATTTATAGATGATTAGGATCTTATTAGATGGGAACTTATAGTACCCCCCCCCCCCCCCCCCCCCCACAAAAAAAAAAAAAAAAAAAAAAAAAAGTTGTTTCAAGCCGATAAACAAAAGCTATATGGTCTTAGAACAGATAGCTAAGACATAAAGAGCATTATCCATGGTCTTGCCAGCAATTAATCAGCCAACCATAAGTATCTATGTGGAAAGCTTGGCATAGAAAACCACTGACTGTATAAACTATTTCATTAAAATTAGAGAAATCATCTTAACTTAAAATTTTATAAGTCCTCACACACTTGTCCAAATTAGGTATGCTTAGGCTATATAGATTTTTCTTGAGGAGTAGAATAAAAGCCTCATGGTTTAGTGGTTCAGTTTTAAATGGATAAAATAATTTCAAAAATATTATTTAGGGTATTTTTTGAGATTATTAATTAAATACAATTCATCTTATGCTCAACTTTAAATGGCTCAATCTTGGGGATGTTTGACTAATTTTCAAAGACAATTTGAATTCAAAGGAGCTTTAATTGAAATTTTATATGTTTAGGTCATGAAAATGACCTATAAATGTAAGATTCCATAATTACACATCCATATATTAATTAGTATTATCCTTTTATTATCATGATAATTTGGTGTATTGGGGATAGGTTTCCATTGATTTAACCTTATTCCAAGGTCTAGTTAACCTAAAACCTAATTTCCAAAGTATATATACATTTACTTTAAAAATTAATTAGAAACCCTAGGAAGGCTTTGATTGCCCCCAAATGCTAGGGTCTAAACCTTGGGTCTTAAATGACTTAGGGTTTACATTTTAAGTCATTTAGAGTTCACTTGGTTTATCGAGTAGTAAACCCTAAATTCAAGAACATAAATCACCTAGGTTTTTTTTAAAGGGGGGCGGGGGAGGGGGCGGGGTCCCACGATAAGGCCAATGCATTGTAATTTTTTTAATTAATACGTAGGCCCCATCGTGGGTCCCCCCCCCCCAATGCAAAATTGAATTACATGAAGCATTTTATAAACTAAAAAATTGAACCAAAACTACAAGAGCAAGAAGATAAGTAAAGAAAAAACTAATCCTCTCTTTACACAAGAATATAGATATGAATCACTACTGAAAAAGAAATTACAAATACTATAAAACATGGCACAAACAATGGCCAAAACATAACTAAGAAAAAATTGTCGTCTTGTTCCAAAATCTTACCTTCTTTTTCCACTAATTTGTAATTCTCATGATCAATTTGGGACTCAATCATTATCTCATTGATCACATCGGGGTGATGGGTATGCCAAATTTTATAAAACAACCTAATAGGTTGGTTTACATCATAGTAATCCCAACAGTATGCAAGGAAAATAATAGATAGCCTCCCGAAAATAAATACTTGAATCACCATATTAGAAGTAAGGAAAAGAAAAGATCAACAAGAGATAATAACCTTTGTAACTTGTGTACTTTTACTAAAGAGCACATCAAGTGTCATAAACTAATATAAAGAACAATAACAAGTTGGAACCACTTCGTCTAGCATCCAGTGAATTGAATTCAACTCTAGGAAGACCCACCATGTCCTCCTTAGCAAATCCTGAATAAAACATCCATACAACTGCAATAACTTCATCTTTACACTCTTGGAAATTTACATATATTTGCTCCCTCAATGAGCTATAAACAACTTCTAAAGGATTACCATTAAAAACCATCAGACTTTTTTTAGAATACCCTCTTAATGTAGGTAAACCACATCATCAATAAGGTTTTCATTTTGCTATGATTAGGTCCCCCTTTGATCCAACATTGAAACCACTAGTTAGACCCTTATTGTCCTCATTTGATAGTCTTGACGAAGGAAACCCAACAGAGGCAATTACTTGAACATGTTGTTCATCAGAGCCCTGCATTGGGCGCCCATACCCATACCCACCCATACCCAATGGATATGGGTGGGTAAGGGTATGCTCATAGACTTATGGGTGGGTACTCAATATGGTGGATAAACCTACTATATTAAAAAAGAGTGAAAATTGAAAAATACATAAACATTATTTTAAAAGTGAAAAATGCATTCAGACTATTCCAAAAAAAAATAATAGACTTGCACCTTTGTACGTGAATTTATGATGATATATTCTCGATTTATGTGAGATAGGTACTTTTGTATCTTAAAAAAGATTTCATATCTTAATATTTTAGTATTAACTTCATAGTTCACACAAATGAGGAAAAGAAGATGGCATTGCCTGCCACTGGAGTATTAACGTCACAAGCCAGAGTGAATAGAAGATGGCATTGCCTACTCAAGAGGCGATCGAGCGCGAGCTCAAGAGCAACAAAGACAATGCCAAATTTTATATCACCGATAATGTCACAGGGACGTGGTACGTTTGGACCAGATTTGGCATCGTCTGCCACCGCAACGGTACCACTTCCATCTTACTCGAGCTAGCTACATGCAAGGCCTGCAAGAAGACATTCATGCACAAGAAAACCACCGAAACCAAGACGATGGGTTTGCACAAATGTGTCGTGCAACAATCTAATGTCGGTGCCACCAAACAGTTCTTTAAGAAGCACATGCCCATGATGAAGGAGAAAGCCAAGATGACGGTGGCTGCTGCCAGCTTCTGCGCGAAGGACATGCGCCCATTCAAAGCCATGTCCTGGTTAGGCCTCAACGAACTGATTCAAACCGTGCTAGATATCGGCATTGCTAGCTCCGGCCGCATTCTCGTTGAGGATCTGCTTGCCCATCCAGTTACGGTCTATTGCCATGTCACAAGTCGTGCCCAGTCAGGTCACGAGAGGCTCACCGTTATTCTCAAGGAGCACTTCAAATCAGGTGTTGGTGCAGCGTGTGCATTTGCGGGCAGGATGGCATACCATCTGAGTTCTCCTGGTTTCCTTGTCTAGACCATAAGCTCGCGAGCGTGCTAACAACTTTCATGAACAAGACAACCACGATGATGCACGGCATTCAAAGCAAACCCTTCTATCGATACCAGCATGGTCCATACACGGCTGACCTATTCGAGATGATCGACTCATCCAAGAAACTCGTCGAGTACTTCAAGCGCTTGAACCTACAAAGCAAGCTGACCAAAACACTCAAACAAGAGAATGTCACACGTTGGAACTCACTGGTATGTTGCCTGTGTAGCATCCTTGATATGTTAGATGAAATCGTAATTGTTCTACAAGAAAAGAATGTGATCCACAAGCTGAACGCCATCCAACAAGATCTTTTGAACGAGTTCACTGTATTCCTTGAGATGTTCCAACATGCGACACTGGAAATGGAGGTGTTCAAGCGCCCAACATTGCACAAGGTCGCATTTTGGCACCATCGTTTACAACAACATATGAAGCTGGTTCGTGTCGACATCATGGACCCGAATGATCCAAGTAGAGTAAAGACAAAGAAAGATTATGATCCGATAATCTCCCTCAAGGAGATCATCCAGCCCATCTTCGAGGAGAAGTTCGTGCTCCAGCCCATCCATGTCGTTGCGATGATGCTCGACCCGATCATGAAGATGCGTTTGCGTGGGTTGGGTATCAATGTTGATCAAATTGATGAGGCCAAGGAGAAGTTGAAGGCATACATGATCAAGTATAGCCATGGCCTTAACTGTGTCATCGATGAAGATGACGATGACAATGATAAGTTGAAGACATACATGATCAAGAAGGCACAGATAAACACCACCGCCTCCTACTCAGTTAACGACGACTTGCCTGAAGATGATGACGAGCCTGAGATGGCCGCCACCATTACCCGTAACAGCTTGCAAGTCAAAGCTGGCCTAGAGTTCATGGCCTACATGGCGAATAGGGTCAGTCCACAAGAACAGAAGATGTGCGGCGACGAGGATGGGGAGTTCGATGTCCTGAAGTGGTGGGGGCTCATGGGCATCAAGGCATTCCCGATCATTGCACTTGTCATGCGCTCTATTTTATGCATTTCGGCCGCCAACACCATGTCTGAGAACAACTTTCAGACGCCGCCAACACACTGACTAAGAAGCAAAGTAGTCTAAAAAGCCCGCTCACGTGAACGATCTATTGTTCTACCGATCGAATGATGACTTGTGCAGCTTGTTAACACATTAGTCCAATGCACCGCATGCTTCATATAACATATTGTGCTGCACTCTAACAACTTGTCCCCTACATCATTATATAAAACCATGTATTTTGTAATACAAGCATTTGGGGAATATGAAAATACTTTTATTTTGTTATTGACTTCTACCTTTCAATTCTCTGCAGGATTTCTTTTATGTCTAAGGTCGAGCAATGCATGGGTATGGGTGGGTACATCATTCTGAAAAATATTATGAGTTGGGGTGGCTGGGCGAAGCCAGCTCGCACAGAGCGTGGGTACCCAATGGGTACTCGACCAGGACCCTATGTAGTGCTCTGTTGTTCACCCCACAAGTTATCCTCTGAATCATCTAGCTAACCTACATCAGATTCCATAATACAAACAGTATACAACCATACTATAGCATCTGAACCATGGCATTTACCTTCCAATATCGATGTACCACTATTATTGGATATAATACGTAGAAATTATTTTGAAACACAATCTTAGTCACCATACTAACACTTCCCTCAGTTGGTCCTTTAACCTCTAGAACCTCCTTCAATTTAAGATGAGTATCCACACCCATTGCACCAAAAGAAAAACCATCCCCATTAGTTGTACCAGCATCAATAATAACCCCACAAAAACCCCTTTCCAAATCCAACACCTGAATAATTAATTTTAAAACCTCCCTCATTGCGGCATTTAGTAGAATACCTTAATAGTGAATCATATAGAAAACCCAAACATAAATTAAGAGAAATGGAATTTCCATAATATTCCTAGTTCTAACATCTAGATTTCCATGTTAATATTTCAACTCATTATAAATAAAATTACACTTGACAAGAGAAACATACTCAAACCTGAAGATAATAGGATGAGGTTCTTCACATAGGCCTCCCAAATCTACTCTTCCACCACTTTGAAATAGTAAGGAAGAACGACCAAAAACATAATTTATGCAAATATCACAACAATTCCCTTAGAATAAGATCTCATCTAGGATCATAGAATAGGAATCTACATCCTCAATCGAATCCTCTAAGTTGTTCTCCATGACATAGGTCAAATAAGCACCTGTAGTGACCATTAAGATCTCCAAAGTACCCACCATGAACACACTTAGACCTTCACAAAGACCTCCAATCCTGAAATGAGAAAGACAATAATTACCACCTGATTTACATTGGAATAACCACCCAAGTAGGACTCCCCATTGACTACTAAGGATTGGAGGCCACCACCCAGCTAAAATGGCCTCCTCCCTAAAATCTTGATAACCCTCAATCCAAATTCCAAGATCTAACTCTCTCTCTCAGAGCTTCTCTCTTCTCCCAATTCAAATTATAATTTCTCTATCTCTTAGGAGGGGAATAAATACAATACAATTATGAGCCTAAGGACTTATTGATTAGTGACTTTACACACTTTGAAGTCATTAATTACCATAGATATTTAAAACTTTGAATAATTAAAATATTTTTTTGATAAAATATAATACATTAAATCATTAAACTTAAACTTTCAATTCCCTTTGTGTTGATAACAAATAAAAATAAATCATAGACAACATCAAATAAAAACAAATTTAAGACCTATCTAAGCCAAACAACTTTGCACAAATTTTAGATGGTTTGCTATGACAACTGACTCTAGCCTATAATAGAAAATTTTTTCTTTATTGTGCTATGTTGTGATTAGATACCTTACTTAGAGGGTATTATTTATCTATTTGTTTACTTTATGTACTTTGGATGTTATACATGTTTACTTTTTTGTACTGCAATTTACTTTATTTACCTTGCACCTTAGTTTACTAGCTTGCATACACTTGCATTGCACTAGTCCAAATCAGATTCAATTTTTCTTTATAGCAAGAGCCAATGAATAATGTACCTTGGATCAAATGTAAATTTAAATGTAAAGTTATAGATTCTTTTATATAGTTAGGTCGATTTATAAATGTAAATAGTTGTAACATATTTAATGGCGATTGTTTATATACACTTATAGATTCAAAAAGGAAATTACTCTTCTTCATTTGGAGATCATTATATTTTAGAATTCTATAGAAGATCCAGGAGCCTAAGTGAAGAAGAATAAAGCAAGCATCTTATTTAAATCTACATTATATAGGTGTAGAAATTAAAACTTATTGTGGTGGAGTTTGGACACCTCTTTTACAACAAATCATGGGTTATACTTTACCCTTTCTAAGTAAATAAATAAAAGTTTTATTTATACATTGCTTCATAAATCACATATTGAAGTCATATGAGTGGTAGATTGCATTAAATTAATAGATTATTTTTTTAGGTTTTGGTAGTTTATATGTCATTTTCTTTGTAACAATATGTATACTAAATCAAGTATGATGTAGTTTGGTACTACAGATAAGTACACATTTACATTGACATTCATACATACGTGTATTTTACTTTCTTCAATGTACACTAGCCCAACACACAAGTCAATAATAAAGGAATGGAAGTGCCCATGGCTTTTAGGGTATCCTTGTTGTAACTCGATCACTATGAATTAGGTTGTTAAACCTAAGCTTATGTCCCAGCAGCTAACCAAGAGGGGGGGTGAATTGGTAATTAAAAATTAATCCCTCTTTTTTTTTTAAATTGAAAAATAAACTTTAATGAGTTTTATAGAAATAGATTTTTCAACAACAAATTAGAAACAAAAATCAACAAAATAAAAAGCAATGAAAAATAAAAGACACAAGATTTATAGTGGTTCGGTCAAACATAACCTACATCCACTCCCCGGAGGCACCCTCCGAGTATTGCACTAATACCACTAGTGACTCTCCTTTAGCACCCAAAGCAAGGCGGAGAAGCCTTTACAAAAACTCTTTCCACCACTAAACGATGCGGCAGAGAACCGTCATCCTTTTACACTATCCCCAGTGTTGGCAGAGAACCGTCGTCCTTTTACACTATCCCTAGTGTTGGCAGAGAACCCTTCGGCTGTTCACACTCTCCAAGAGTGGGCAGAGAACCCTTCGTATGTTCACACTCTCTAAGTGTGGGCAGAGAACCCTTCAGCTGTTCACACTCTCCAAGTGTGGGCAGAGAACCGTTCGGCTGTTCACACTCTCCAAGTGTCGGTAGAGAATCGGATCTCCTTGACAGATCTTCTCACAATAAATCTAGAAGGAAGAAAGAAAAGAATGAAGTAAACACAAATCAAAAGTATAGATTCTTATCTTTGAACACCAAGTGAAGCCTTCACGCTCCGGTAGTAAGAATCCTCCTTCAAACACTCTCTTACACTCTCTCATTGACTCTTCTTTCAATAGGCACAAAGATCAGTGTACAAAAAGATTACGTGGCAGTTTAGTTTGGACTATTTACAGAAAAGACATAAAAAATCATCCAAAAACTACAAATTTTCAAGTAAATACGCATTGGATCGTCCCATACGATCGTGGATCGTCCTGGACGATTTTACTTAAATGCGTTGGAAACGAACCTAATGTATATGGGTACAAAATGACTTCGTACACACACATTGTCTCGTACAAACAAGGTTCGTCCGGTAAGAACGGTTATTCAATAGGTCGGTTCCCAAAAATTGCATAACATCACTTAAAATTTCAGTGTCGGTTCACTTCGTCCTGGAACGAATATGGGTTTGTCCGGATGAAATTTTTCCAGAGAGCATATCATCCTGGGACGAATACACTTCATCCTGGACAATAATACTCCAAAGAGCAACTCGTCCTGGAACGAATACAGTTCATTCTGAACAAAACTTTTCTAGAGAGCATTTTGTCCTAGGACAAATACACTTCATCCTGGACGATCAGGACTTAAAAAAATATTCTTTAACTCCTGTTCGTTCCATTGCTCTTACGAGGAGATAACTGACTTGATCGTCCCATACGATCAGTACAAATTTCTCAAGATCTCCTAAAGTGTATGTGTGTGTATTCACTCAATTACAATCACTCCCTCTCAAACTTAATTCAAAGAAAAATATAAGTTTTAAATACACAAAGTATCTCATGCTGAATTTGATTTGAACTCTTTATAGTCTCGAGTTTGATTTTTCTGAAATGTTAGTACACATAAGAGCAAAAACAACTCTTCCAAAAAGTGTTAGGAGATAACTATACATAAAATAATAATATTTGAAATCATCAAAACTATACAAGTTGCAAGAATGTAAAACATGCAAATAGCAACTCTCTTAACAATCTCCGCCTTTTTTATAATGGCAAAACAATTATTGTTTGTATAATTTGCAAATTCTAAAAATCTCCTAAACTCCCCCTAAATTGATGAACACGTGTAAATAAGGAGGCATTTTTAGAAAGATACAATAAACAAAAATAAAATAAACACACAACTTATACAACATACACAAAACATAAAACAAAAAAAAAAACATACACACACATACAAAATGAATCAAACAAAACAAAAACCACGATACAAATAATTTCTCCCCCTTTTGACAACAGCAAAAAGAAAGGAAGAAACAGACTTGAAATGTAAGCAGACATATGGAAATTATTTGATAATTCAATCTTGAAAGTGATTGAAATAAATATGCAAATAAAATTAAAATATTAGGCAAATCATATTAATTCATAGAATTTAAGAAGAGATATAACATTGATAATATAATGAATATATCAAAAATATGAATCAATTTAGACTCTAAGATTGATAAAATCATTACAAAAAGGATGAATAGAAAATTTATATATTTTAAATTTCAATACATAATATAAATGTACAGTAGATCAATTTGAATTAAGAGATTAAAAGATAATGGAAAGAAATAATTACCACATGTGGCGCTTTGCGCATCTTTTTCAAATTATTGGTATATTTTTGTGCATCTTTTTACTTTTGGATTTATTTTGTGCCTCTTTTTATACTTGTGAATCATTGCGCATTCCTT